GCATTACCCTGATACCATACCAAAACCAACAAGGATGCCACAAGAAAAAAAAGTTACAGGCTAAAGTCTTTTATGAACACAGATGCAAAAATTCTCAACAAAATATTAGCAAATGGAATTCTTTTTATTTTATTTTTTTAAAGATTTAATTTATTTATTCATGAGAGTCACACAAAGAGACAGAGACGTAGGCAGAGGAAGAAGCAGGCTCCCTTCTCCTTCCCTTCCCTCGATGTCAGGACCCCGGGATCACGACCTAAGCCAAAGGCAGATGCTCAACCACTGAGCCACCCAGGTGCCCCAGCAAACAGAATTCAACAATATATTAACTGTGTAAGTATGTAAGACATACTTAACTGTGAAACCTGAACTCTTTTCCTCTAAAATCAGGAACACAACAAGAATGGGTCACTGTGGCCACTTTTATTCAACATGATATTGGATATCCTAGCTAGAGCAATTAGGAAAGAAAAAGAAATAAAATGCAACCAAATTTCAAAGGAAGAAGTAAAAGTGTCACTATTTGCAGATGACATTACATATAGACCCTGAAGAAGTCACTGAAAAGAGGTTAGAATAAACAAATTCAGTAATATTGCAACATACAAAATCAATACGCAAATCTGTTGTGTTTCTATATACTAAATATAACTAGCAAAAAGAGAAATTAAGAAAACAATACCATTTATAATTACATCAAAAAGAATAAAATACCTAGGAATAAATTTAAGCAAGGAAGTTAGAGACTTTTATGTTGAATCAGTAAGACACTAATGAAAGAAATTAAAGATGACACAAATAAAAAGACATTCTATGCTCATGGACAGGAACAATTAATATTGTTAAAATGTTCATATTAGGGATGCCTGGGTGGCTCAGCGATTGAGCATCTGCCTTTGGCTCAGGGCGTGATCCTGGAGTTCCAGGATCGAGTCCCACATCAGGCTCCATGCAGGGAGCCTGCTTCTCCCTCTATGTCTCTGCCTCTCTCTCTCTCTCTCTCTCTCTCTCTCTCTCATGAATAAATAAGTAAAAAATCTAAAAAAAAAAAAAGTCCATATTACTCAAAGCAATATACAGATTCAATGCCATCTCTACCAAAAAGTCCAATGGCATTTTTCATAGAAATCTAACAATCCTAAAATCTGTATATAACCACAAAAGACCCCAAAGAGCCAAAACAATCTTGAGAAAAGAAAAAAAAAGGCTGAAGGCATCACACTCCCTGATTTCAAACTCTATTACAAAGCTATAGTAATTAAAACAGTATGTTACTGGCTTAAAAACAGATACATATTTGGGGTGCCTGGTGGCTCAGTTAGTTAAGCATCTGCCTTTGTGGTTCAGGTCATGATCCCAGGGTCCTGGGATAGAGCCCCACATCAGGGTCCCTGTTCTTCAGGGAGCCTCCTTCTCCTTCTCCCCCCTGGCTTATGATCTCTCCCTTTCAAAAAAAAAAAACCTCAATGGAACAGAATAGAGCCCAGAAATGAATTTATGCATTTATGCTCTATTAATTTATGACCAAGGAGCCAAAAATATACAATGGGGAAAGGACAATCTCTTCACTAAATGGTAGTAGAAAACTGGACCACTATCTTATATAATACGCAAAAATGATCTCTTAATGAATAAAAGATCTGAATGTAAGACCTGAAACCACAAAACTCCTAGAAGAAAATACAGGCAAGACAAAGGTCTTGTCAATGACCTGAATGTCACACCAAAAGTGAAACCTACAGAAGCAAAAATAAATAAGTGGGACTGCATCAAACAAAAAAACTTCTGCTCAGCAAAGAAAACAACAAAATAAAAAGGCAACCTACTGAATACAAGAAAATACTTGCTCTTTAAAAAAGGGGGGTGTGTGCTTGGATGGCACAGTGAGTTAAGCATGCAATTCTTGGTTTCAGCTCAGATCATAATCTCAGTGTCATGAGATCAAGTCCTGCATCAGGCTCTCTATTCAGTGCAGAGTCTGCTTAAGACACCCTCCCCTTGGGATCCCTGGGTGGTGCAGCGGTTTGGCGCCTGCCTTCGGCCCAGGGCGCGATCCTGGAGACCCAGGATCGAATCCCACGTCGGGCTCCCAGTGCATGGAGCCTGCTTCTCCCTCTGCCTATGTCTCTGCCTCTCTCTCTCTCTCTCTCTCTCTCTCTCTGTGACTATCATAAATAATAAAAATTAAAAAAATAATAATAATAATTAAAAAAAAAAGACACCCTCCCCTTTTCCCTCTCTCCCTTCCCACCATGCATGAGGTCTCTAAAATAAATAAGACAAACCATGAGAGACTCCTAACTCTGAGAAACAAACAAAAGGTTACAGAAGGGGAGGTGGATGGAGGGATAGGGTAACTGGGTGGCAGGCATTAAGGAGGGCATGTGATGAGATGAGCATGTTATACTATATATTGGCAAATTGAATTTAAATAAAAAAATAATTAAAAAATTTAAAAATTAAAAAAAAGAAAAAAAAGAAAAGAGGTGTGTGGGTGGCTTAGTCAGTTAAGCATCTGCCTTTGGCTCAGGTCATGATCCCAGGGTCCTGGGATCAAGTCTCGCATCAGGCTCCCTGTTCAGCAGGCCTGCTTCTCCCTCTCTTCCTCTGCTCCACCTACTTGTGTGTTTTATCAAATAAGTATATAAAATCTTTTAAAAAATACTGCAAATCATATATCTGACACGGTGTTAATATCCAAAATACATAAAGAACCCATACAACTCAACAGCAAAAAAAAATCTGATTAAAAAATTGTCAGATGACTTAAATAGGCATGTTCCCAAAGAAGACACAGATAGCCAACAGGTTAAAATCAATAATCATCATGAAATGCAAACAAAATCATAATGAGATACCATCTTATACCTGTAAGAAAGTCTATTATCCAAAAGACAAAAAATAACAACTGTTGGTGAAGATGCAGAGAAAAAGAACCCTCGTGCACTGCTGGTAAGAATAGAAATTGGTGCAGCCAGTATGGAAGACAGTATGTAGGTTCTTCAAAAAATTTAAACAAGAACTACCATTATATGATCTAGCAATTCACTTCTGTTTTTTTTCCAAAGAAAATGAAAACATTAACTCAAAAATATGTATGAACCCATGTTCAATGCAGCACTATTTACAACAGCTAAGATATGGAAACAATCTATCTCACTTATGTGTGGAATCTAACAAAACAAAACAAGCTCCTAAACACAAAGAACCTACTGGTGGTTGCCAGAGGTGGGAGGTGTGGGGTGGGAGAAATGGGTAAAATGGAATGAAAAGGTAAAAAATAATTTAAGTAATTTAAAAATGCATACAAAGGATGTGTGTTCAACTATTATTTGTAATAGCAAAAAAAATGTATCGGCAGCCTAAGATTCCAACAAAAGCAAATACTTTAAACTCTGTCTGGATGGCTCAGTCGGTTAAGTGTCTAACTAGATTTCAGCTCAGATCATGATCTAAGGGTTTTAAGACGGAGCCCTGGGGGGACCCCTGGGTGGCGCAGCGGCTTGGCGCCTGCCTTTGGCCCAGGGCGCGATCCTGGAGACCCGGGATCGAATCCCACGTCAGGCTCCCGGTGCATGGAGCCTGCTTCTCCCTCTGCCTGTGTCTCTGCGCCTCTCTCTCTCTCTGTGTGTGTGACTATCATAAATGAATAAAAAAAAAAAAATTAAAAAAAAGACTGAGCCCTGTATTGGGCACCACACGCAGCATGGAGTCTACTTGAGATTCTCTTTCCCCTCCCTTTGTTCCTTTCCCACTTGTATGCAAGCACTCATGCACTCTCTCTAAAACAAATAAATGAAATCTTTAAAAAAAATAAACACTGGTGTATCCCCCTAATGCTTTATATTAGTAACTATTTTTAAGACAAATATATACTGGTATGTTTATAATACAGTAATGAAAAACAACACACACAAAGTGATCCCATTTCATTAGTGTATTTGAAATTAATTGTGTCAGATTTCACCCTCCTGTTAATGTCATTCTTCCATTCTTATAAATTATTATGGCATAAGACAGAATTGGCTTAAATGTTATTATTAGTTCCCCTAAAGTCATTTGTGTCCTGAAAAAAAACGGTGCCTCACCTAATAGCAACCAAGTCTAGGGGTACCTGGGTGGCTTAGTTGGCTGAATGTACAACTCTTGTTTTCGGCTCAGGTGTGATCCCATGGGTCATGAGATCAAGCCCCAAGTTGGCTCTGCACTCAGTGGGGAGTCTGCTTGAGATTCTCTCCCCTTTCCCTCTCCCTCTGCCCCTACCCTACTCATGCATGCACACACACCTGTACATTCCCTCTCTCTCTCTCTTAAATAAATAAATAAATCTTAAAAAAAAAAGCCACCAAGTCTATCAGCTATATTAACAATGCAGCTATATTAACAATGCAGGGTCCATCTTCCTGCTTGGATTCTCACTTTAGCATCACTACTGCTCATAAAGCCACGCTGAGAAACCTCCCAACTGTCTATGCTCTCTTGAGAATGCCAATGTCAGAGCCAAAAGGCCCAAAGCTTCCAAACCATAGGAAAGAAGGCCTCCTTCCTTCATTTGAAAGTTCCCAAAGCTGCTATAGATGCAACGAGATGTTAGAGAAAGGGTGAGGGTTTGTGCCTAGCAGCCTTGATTATTTTCCAGTGTGACTAGCCAAAACTGCACTGTTACACATACATTTGCCAAGAAAAAGGTCTGAAACATTTTGCACCAAGTTGTCAATAATGGTTATCTTTTAGTATTCTGGAAGTTTTTTCTTATCTATGACTTTAAAATTTTCTTCAAAAAAAATAAATAAATAAAATTTTCTTCAATGACCAGAGTGTGTTTCTGAGGCAAAAAAAGGTTAAGTTAAAAAGTGAAATATTTAATGAGGAAACACATTACTGAAAACCACTTCCTTAAGCATCAAAGTGTAAGAAAAATTTCCAACAAATATTCATAGTCATCTGTCCTCTATTTCTGTCCACAGTGCCAAGGTTCCTCCTGTCCCATCATTACTTACATTCCTGAAGACATTCTGTATCTGTGCAGTAGGACTGGGACTGCCTCAACTACAAAGAAAAAGAAGAAAGGAAAGTTAGCCATTGGATTTAACCAAAAATGGATAATCTATATTAGAAATATGTTTTGTGGGCAGCCTAGGTGGCTCAGCGGTTTATTTTTATTTTTTTTTAATCTTTTTTTTTTAATTTTTATTTATTTATGATAGTCACAGAGAGAGAGAGAGAGAGAGAGAGAGAGAGAGAGAGGCAGAGACACAGGCAGAGGGAGAAGCAGGCTCCATGCACTGGGAGCCCGACATGGGATTCGATCCTGGATCTCCAGGATCACGCCCTGGGCCAAAGGCAGGCGCTAAACCGCTGCGCCACCCAGGGATCCCGGCTCAGCGGTTTAGTGTCACCTTCAGCCCAGGGAGTGATCCTGGGGACCCGGGATCGAGTCCCATATCGGGCTCCTTGCATGGACAGGCAGAGGGAGAAGCAGGCTCCATGCAGGGAGCCCGATGTGGGACTTGATCCCCGGACTCCAGGATCACACACTGAGCTGAAGGGAGATGCTCAACTGCTGAGCCACCCAGGCATCCCAGGAAAACAGATCTTAATGTAAAAATATGGCATATATCCTAACTCTAAATATGAAGGGAATTAATCAAAATATTCTTTAAAAATTATACATTCTATGGCCATAGACAAACACAACAAATGCTGGTGAGAAAGTAGAGAAAAGGTAACCCTTGTGCACTGTTGGTGGAAATGTAAATTGGTGCAGCCACTATAGAAAACAGTATGGAAGTTCCTCAAAAAATTAAAAAAAGAAAGAATCACCATATAATTCAGCAATTCCACTTCTGGGTATTTATCCAAAAGGAAAATAGTAATCTGAAAATATATGCCCCCCCGCCCCCGGTTCATCGCAGCATTATTTATAACAGCCAAGACATGGAAGCAATGTAAATGTCCACTGATGTATGAACGGATAAGGAAAATGTGGCAAAAAAATAAAAATAAAAAAAAAGAAAATGTGGCAAATATATATACAATGGAATATTATTCAGCCATTAAAAAAATGAAATCTTGCTATATGCAACAACATAGGTGGACCATGAGGACATTAGGCTAAGTGAAGAAAGTCACACACACACACACACAAAAGATAAATACTGTATAATCTCACTTATGTGTGGAATCTAAAAACAAAAAACAAACAGAGCTTAAGGATAGAGAACAGACTCAATTTACCTTGCCCGGATCCAGCACAGGACACAGGCTCTAGCCTGATGAAATGTATTTCTTAAGTACTAAGACTTGAATGTTAAAATGATTTCTTAATTCATGAGCTGCAGAATGGATGCTGTGTTAGCAGGCATGAAAACAACACTCATCTTATACATCACCATCACAGCTCTTGTGTGACCAGGTGCACTGTCCACGAGCAGTAATATTTTGAAAGGAATCTTTTTTTTTTCTCTGAGAAATAGGTCTCAGCCATGGATTTGAAATATTCGGTAAACTATTTTGTAAACAGATGTGCTGTCATGCAGGGCTTGTTTTTCCATTTAGGTGGAGTAGATTTAGCATACTTCTTAAGAACCCTAGAATCTGAGGAATAGTAAATGAGCATTGGCTTCAACTTAAAATCACCACCTGCATTAGTCTCTAATAAGACAGCTTGTCCTTTGAAGCAAGGCATTGACTTCTCCTTTGGCTAAGAGAGTCCTAAATGGCATCCTCTCCCAATAGAAGCTGTTTCACCTACACTGAAAATCTATCATTTAGTAGTAGTTACCTTCATTAACTACCTTAGCTAGATCTTTTGGGTAACCTGCTGCAGTTTCCACGTCAGCACTAGAGGCTCTACCTTGTGTTTTTGTTTTTTTTGTTTTGTTTTTTTTTTTAATAGAGATGATCTCTTTCCTTAAAACTCATGAACCAGGGAAGCCTGGGTGGCTCAGTGGTTGAGCTTCTGCCTTCAGCTCAGATCGTGATCCCTGGGTCCTGGGATCAAGCCCCTCCATCAGGCTCCCCACAGGGAGCCTGCTTCTCCCTCTACCTATGTCTCTGCCTCTCTCTCACACGAATAAATAAAATCTAAAAAAAAAAAAAAAGACAAAACTCCAGAACCACCCTCTGCTAGCTTCAGCTTCTCTTCTGTAGCTTCCTCACCTATCTTAGCCTTCATGGAATTAAAGAGGATTTTGCTCTGGATTAGGCTTTGGCTTAAGGGAAGGTGGTGACTTTGGTCTTCTATCCAGAGCATTCAAACTTTCTCCATTATCAGCAATAAGGCTGTTTTGCTTTCTTATCATTCATGTTTTCACTGGAGTAGAAACTTTAATTTTCTTTCAAGAATTTTTCTTTCGCATTCACAGCTTGGTTGACTGGAGCAAGACACCCAGCTTTCAGTCTCAGTTTCTGACCTGCCTTTCTCACTAAACTTCATCATTTCTAGTTTTTGAATCAGAGTGTGAGACATGGGACTCTTCCTTTCACTTGAACACTCTGAGGTCATCGTAGGGTTATTCACTGATAATGTTTTTATTGTAATATGTAATATAAATTATACATTTACATAATTCACTTTAAAAGTAATTGTAAATTTTAACATATTATTAAAATATATTTTATTTAAATATATCTTAAATATTATATAATGAGAAAGTACTCCAATTATGAATATTTTTTAAAAAATTTTTTAAGATTTTATTTATTTATTCATGAGAGACACAGAGAGAGAGAGAGAGAGAGGCAGAGATACAGGCAGAGGGAGAAGCAGGCTCCATGCAGGGAGCCTGACATGGGACTCGATCCCGGGTCTGCAGGATCATGCCCTGAGCTGAAGAGGCAGGCGCTAAACCGTTGAGGCACCCGGGCTGCCCGAATATTTAAAAATTAATGTAGATTAACTCACTGCCCCATGTATTCTTTTCTAGTCTTAAAATATGCACACTTTCACATAATTACAATTATAATAGCAAATATTGGAAAACTGTATGTGGTAGGTACTGTACTAAGCACTTTAACTTGATATCTTCTTTAATCTTCAACTAAGGGCTGGAGGCAGATTCTATTATTGCTATTTTCCCAATGGATGAAACTTGAGTTTTGGAGAAGGTTAGATACCCAATATAAACTTCAAATTCTCATTTTTTTTTCCAGAGTCTAATTTTTTTTAATATTTTACTTATTTACTTACTTACTTATTTATTTATTTATAGATTTTTTTTTCTTTTTTTTTTAATTTTTATTTATTTATGATAGTCACACACACAGAGAGAGAGAGAGAGGCAGAGACACAGGCAGAGGGAGAAGCAGGCTCCATGCACCGGGAGCCCGACGTGGGATTCGATCCCGGGTCTCCAGGATCGCGCCCTGGGCCAAAGGCAGGCGCCAAACCGCTGCGCCACCCAGGGATCCCCAAGAGTCTAAATTCTTAACACAATTCCATTCTACTTCACAATGTTTAAAATTCTGTTTCATAATTTGTTAACATATCATTACATCCTCTCAAGCATAATTCTATGGTTACAAAATACTTCTATGAATTGACCAACTGTATAACTGAACTGAAGCAAATTCAGATTGAGGTGAAAATAACCATAGTATAGTTATTAAATAGACTCTAAGACCAACATAACCAATGTTTTCCTTCTGCACTAAAAGAAATCTCTCTTGGGGTGCCTGGCTGGCTCAGTTCATAGAACAAGTGACTCGATCATGGGGTAGAGAGTTGGAGTCCCATACTGAGTATAAAGATTGCTCAAAAAAAAAAAGAGAGAGAGAGAGAGAGAGAGAACCATGGGAACAAAGTGCCATGGGAAGAAAGAGCAGGTTTCCCTTTGGGATTATGATAAAATTTTTTTTAAAAAAAAGGTAATGTACAATTTGTCCTGTTATAGGAGTTTCTAGAAAATTAATTCATTCACATATAAGGTAAAACGAGAAATTAAATCAATTTAATGTGGAAGCTGTACTGGCTCATAATAAGTGATTTTTCCTAGGTAAAGACAGCCAGAAGACTGGGAGTCAAATGGTTTTCAGCAGGCAAGGATAAACCCTTTGGGGCTCATGGTGTACAAGCAGGAGTTCCTTCAGCTCTAAGAAAATTTAAAATGAATGCCTGCAAGCATGTGCACAAACACACACACACAACCAAGAATGAGAAGAATTTATCCATTGGGAGCCTGGCTGAGGGTAGCACTTTATCCCTAGTTCAAGCTGCATCGAATCTTTGGGACATTCCACCAAGAGCTGTGATTGGATCCTGCTCTTCCGGCTGGTTTTCTATGAGTTCCTGGTGACATTCTTCATGTTCACCACCAAGCAATGCTGCTAACTTTGAATAATGAGGTGCCAAAGTAGCATGATCACATTCCTAGCCCAGCACTTAAGTGTTTTTTCCAAACCAGTGTTTTGGAATATATATTCAGTGTTCAGATTCAAACACCTATGATGAGTAAAAAAGTAATTTCTTTAAATAATTTTCTTAAAAAAATTCAAAAAACCATGTATTTTCAGTACAAGAAAATTTTACTGTTTTGATGGAACTCTTTATACAAAGGCCTAATTTACAATACATCTCAGTTTTCTCTGGACTTATTTGGAGAATACATATTGATGCTAATTTTGGCTTACTCCAAAAGGAAACTATTTGTAAAAACAAAAGAAAAAAAAAAAACAAGGATAATATGTGAAGGAAACAGAAATGCCAGTATCTACAGGATGGTCACAGACTTCAAATATTTTTCGTATTATGATGGAGGGGAAGGGAGGAATCATATGTGAACTATCTAGAGCCTACTGTTGCTGTCCAGATAAACTTTCATGTCAACACTGATCCTAGGATACTAGAAAAGAAATAAAAGTAGATTTAGATCTCTCTACATAACTAGGATGGTCAAAGAAAGTTTTTGAAGTGAGTTAGTTTCAAAATCACAGAGAAAGCACAGTATGAATAAATGTATTTCTAAATTAGGGAAATAGGCAGATACTAAAAGAAACTGAAAGAATAAAAAAAGATCTGGTGCAGAGATTTCACATTAGGGAACACTGAA